AGTWTGATAYGAACAATTATTGGTTGAGATTTAGTCTGATATGAACAATTATTGATTTAGGCTGAGTATGACAGGAGCAATTATTGGTTGAGGCTGAATATGATATGAACAATTATTGGTTAAGATTTAGTTTGATATGAACAATTATTGGCTGAGGCTGGGTACGATATAAACATTAAATTATTGTCTGAGAGTGATATGCTCAATAATTAGATGAGGCCGCTGAGCATGATGCAAAAACACCGCGCGGAATCATAGCCATAACGGAATCTATAAATCGGCCAAAGATTCGCTCGATCTTGTAGATGATTTAAACTTTTTTTCGCCGAAATTGTTTTTTTATCTCGAGTTTTTCACAGAAAATATTATGCATTGACTTTGCACTTACGAAAGCTCGTACATGTCAGATAAATCAAGAGTACAACAAAAGAATTGAATATRATTTTGCAAACTTCGCTTTCAAAAGCTTAGTTATACTGGTTCCAATTTTCCCTGATACCTACTAGTAAACCACCTTTKAGTAGCCTATCTCTACGCAATTCCATGGCTAAATAATCCCCAAAACGCCTTAAAGAAACCACAATCGAAATTGTTAACTGAAAAGTGGAACATCGGCGTTATTGTGATCAAAGAGGCTTGTCCAAAAGACGCACGCAGAGTAAATAGTTTCGAAACTGTCCACAATTGTATATTTTAGGGCGTTTGTCCTTCGTCGATCACTTGTTGTAAGCAGTACCAAAATGGCGAAGTACTTGACCGTTGTTCTTGCATGTCTATCTATGCTTGCTTCACTGGAAGCGTTCACATGTAAGTCAGTCGATATTTTTGCATGAACTAGTCATATTTATGGGGTGATTTTGGAGTCTTACAGCTATTACGTTGGTTTCTGTTCTCGGTCTGAGTATCACGTACACGGTATTTCAGTTGAAACGAGGGCTTTTTATCGAAGTTCGCTAGTGGTCAGCTACAATCTTGGACAAATTGACATCTATTTTAATCCCGCTAAAAATAGCCATTTCTGMAACAATATTTGTCATTTTCTGACTCTCCCCACCCCACTTGGAGTAGACTATAATTACCCCTTGCTCTGTCAAAATTGATTTGTCGAGAATGGAGCTGCATGCGAAAACATTTAATAATAAGTGTGGAGGGCAGGCGCGTGGCGTGGAGGTTTTGGTTAGTACGCACGTCAGGGACCGCGACACATATTTTGGATCTGGGGKTCTATATATAACGACAGCCAAAGGCGGGAGTATTAAGGGAGTCTGGACCTCCCCCAGGAAATTCTGAAATAATAACTCTTGGAAATGCGGTTTCCAGCGTTTTGAAAAAAAGGGATCAATTTTAYATAYGTGAATTTTTCAGTGAAAATTTTAATATTTCCTTGCCACTAGTACGCACGWGCATATAAAGGACGCTACGCGCCTGGAGGGTTCTGGAAATTACCCAGRWTTCCTGACCAAAGAGAAAACTTTTTTAAGGCCCCTTACTGTAAGCTGTTTAATTTGTTTGTCGCAGATAAAACCAAGAACGTATTCTTCTCGACGGACGGCGATGAACGTAATGACGYGCGTAGCGAAGTCGACGGAACTGGCAGCGTTTCTTGGTTCGACAAGCGACAGAAAACYATCAATTTATCGAAGGGAAAGTGCCATTGTCGTAGGTCATCGAAACTGAACCAAGGATGCCAATGTTGCATTAGCGTCTCTATCAAGACATTACCGAAAATGGAAGGTAACGCTAGTACTGTATTATAACGTAATGTAACGCATCATGCTGCGAGGAAACGTAAAACGACGTAACGTACTATACGTAACACGATGCAACGTATTATAATGCAAAGCACTACTGTATAATGTAAGTCGTAACGCAACGCCATGTAATAGCAGAGATACTATAGCGTAACGTACTCTAACGTAAAATYAACACCACGTAATTTTATGTAGCGTACTATAACGCAACGTACATAATAATAACGCAACACACCGTTACGCAAAGCAATACGTRACATATTATGAACGCAATATGACGCACTGGTGCCGATATGGACATCCTCCATAAATCTTCGTTGGACATGATGATGATGACCTAAACGTTACGTAACGTAACGTAACATCAGCGCAACAGCTGTTATCTAGCGGCGCGTAGAATTACGCAAAGAGAAAAGAAATTTTAATTTCTTAAAAGTACAGTATTTCTTCCTCTTTTTTTAGCTTGTGCAGAATTCGAGTACGACTCTTCAGCAAAGGTAAGGCCCGGGGGCGGGGCAGGCCCTGGGGGGAAGGGGACCCCCGGGAGGTAAGGTGATATCGCAATTTTTTCATGAATCTCTCTCCAAGAAACACGTCTGAATATTAATGAATTTTAATTCTTCCCAGGCTCTRGACTTCACGGTCACAATCAACCGAGAGATGGTGTCGAGGAAAAGAATTTCAGGTGCTTCGCATACCTCTATCATTAGACCGCAAAGCTTATGGGATGACAAAAACACTAAGATTTCAAATTCTCTTTTGGGAAGTCGAATCTATTGTTTTGTCCCCAATCTCGTACACAGAGCCTGCACGTTTGACATCTAGCGGAAGTCTACTGAGGCGCATGTGTTGTGCAAAAAGCGCAATAACAAAATTCAATGTTTCGGCAGTATTTTTCTTAATTTCAAGGTGTATGGCGTATTATTTTTATGATAACCGTGCCTTTTTCTAATAATGATTTTTAATTATTACATTTCTCAATGGGATTTTAAATTCACTCCATGTTCTGTTGCAGTYACAATGGACACCAAGTTTTGTCATAACTATGAAATCAGTTCAGACAACGCCACAGTCTGCTTGGGCCTGAGGAAGATCTCGCTTGAGGAAGGTCACGCCGGAGCTTGCATGTTTATGCAAATTGAAAGCGGTGCTACGATTCAYTGGGATCAAAACATTGGATGCATTTACAAGAGAAACTTCTCAGCCATTAACATTGTATAGAGSTGTCTTTATCCAGTAGTCTAGTAGWAAATATATACCTCACTAAAGTAATGTTAAATGACCGAAATGAATTCCGAAACTTCACTAAATAGCTATATAATTAGGCTTCCTGTGTTACATGATTTAAGAGAAAGACTTATGAAACAATTTCATATGTAATAAATATATTCTTAATATTAATCAGCAATTCTCTACATTTTCACCTTTTCTTTAGGAAACAATTAATATCATAAATGGTTGAAAATAGGGGGGGTGCACACCTCAGAAAGTGCCCAAGAAAATAAAATAAAATATGGGTACAAAGTCAAYTGAAGGAGTGGCACGCACCCCCCTGGATACATGCCCAAAAATAATCAGTTGTCAATAASCTCCMAGTTTCTTGTTAAAAAGAYCTTCATCAGGATCAGCTTGAACCATAACAAACTCCTGCCTCAATGAAYTTYCCTCACTTTYCCAGCAGCTTTGAYYACATGAGAATACAATTACAGTCCCAAACTCTATTCTAGCTTTCTSACTGTTATAAACATTATGTTTAAACTGTGTGACATCCATTAACCCTTCACTTGGACTCTCAGAAATCACTGTTCCTTGCYCATTGGTAGAATCCTTTTCCCATATATGGTCTTCTTTTTCTTTGTGAACCAATGAGGATTGGGTATCTGTGTCCTTTGTTYCWCTATTGTTGTCAGCAGCCAATGAGAATTGGTCAGTTGAGTCCATATTWGGAGTTGATCTCGTATTGTCACTACCATCATTGCTTTTGTCAACCAATGAGGAACCACAATTTTTACCCAAAYAAGGACTGCTTGTATCATTGCTACCAAATAAGGCATTTCTATTTACTTYCYTTGTAAGGTTGCTWGGAGACTYKAGGTTGTGTTCTCTACTTTTAAGYAATGGTACCAATGCTGGCATAAGTTGTAMTTCATAWACTCTATCTYCTCCACAGTATTGACAGSGMGGRACAGCTGACATGACGTCCAGTGGWTTTGTATTGGAYATTAACAATGGCATACCCTTCCAATGATATCTAATGTAATTAATTGTCATAGGCTAAGTGTTAAAAGTTTAAATTTTCATAGCTTTAAGTATAGCTTAAAACACRATAGATCCRTTAAATCCATTAAAATCCTTGGAGAAATTACCATAAAAAGCATGGATTAATCATTGCTCTGAAAGTCTTCTCCATGAGAAATAAACTGAGCAACAAACTTCAATGAAGAAAGCAACAACAATTATCAAATGATTGATTGTTGTGATTTATCAGTGAAAATGCAAACTTAAGCTTCAACAATGTGAACAAGGAGTTACAGGATTTTTTACAAACTGAAATTCTGCCAATACACATGACATGATGTCATCCTTACAACATTGCTACAACTGTTGTAGAGATTCAAAATAATTGTTTGATAGCACTTTTATAGTTTAAAGCCATTTTGAAAGGATGATAAGAAAATGATGATGATGATGATAATAATAATTACATCACCTACCTTATGCATTGTTGAGGRCATGATTGCACACATTTTAGGAATTTATGAAATCCATAGTCACCATGAGAAACATTTGTCCTTTCATAGCTCTCTGAACTCTGTCCCTTTGTACTTGYACTTGTTGAAATAATATCTTTTAATTCTTTACCCTCTTTCTGTTGATATTCTTGAATCAAGTTCTTTTCATGTGCAGTTAAGTGTATTTTTGAGGATTKTTTGTGGCTGGTTTCATCTTCAAAGACATTGATATAGTATGRARTAAAGCAAGGTGAAGTGTATTGTGGGGGAATGGGGWTCTTTGAAATCACTTGCGGTTGTTTTTCAGCATTGTCATTGTATGGATTTAGGGTGAGTTTACTRGTTTGAGATTCTAGGTCTTCCATTGCAGGTTCAAATCTCTCTTCATTGCTGTAAACAAAATAAAAAAAATKAAATATTGATTTACATGTATTTATCTATCAATAGCTCATTTAATCATTAATGATTATTAATCTTTATCATTTTTTTTTCAATATCAGGCTTTTGAAAAATATATCTTTCAACTTACTCTCCCCAGTCTTCTGCATCATCACACCAATCATCGASAGAGCCAAATTTTTCAGAAGCCTGGAAACAATATAAATTACACTTCTATAAAATGCAAAATTATTGTCAATACAACTTATAGGTGTATCAGCCATTAACCTGAGGTAATCTAGCCTTTTGAGTTGAGGGGAAGGCAAAGGCCTCCCTTCTCTCAGTCATTCTTTGATAATTTATTCCCCAAGAGAGCGTAATACTCATGTTAATTAGCTATTGGTTCAAATATTTATCTTAAAAGCTAGACAGATGCCTACTACTAGTTCAAATATATGTACCTCTTTATCTTGAGTCTCTTGTTGCTTTTCAATWTTGGGCAGAACTTGGGACCTGAGTACCAACCAGCTTAGAAAAGGGGGAAAAAAAAAACAATAATTAGCTGTAGGTTACTAGATTACTAGATTAAAAGAGGAATTCTTTTCATAAAGAATACATAGTATCTCCTTGTTATGCAAGA